CTCTTAGTCATGAAAGGTGATGGACAATTAATCTAAACAGAAGAGGCTCCAGAAATATTCATATCCTCAATAATAATACAAAACAAAACACTGGAGTAATTCAGCTATTTGGCAGCACCTGTGGAGAGAAAACCAGGGATAATGTCATACAGGACTTCAAATTTTAATTCTGTTTCTCTCTACACACATGCTGCCTGACCTGATGAGATCCTCCAGTTTTTTTAAAAGATGGAAATATGAAATAAAAACAGTATTTTGCTTTTATTCATAGCTTCAAAACTGGGAATTCCTACATATCAGTGCAACATACAAGGCTGAAGCATTTGCAGTCATCTTCAGCCACAAATGCCAAGTGGATGATACACTTGACAGGAAAGCTACAGGCCCTGGCATGCTTTCTAGCTGTAAAACTGAAGACTTGAGTAGTCATGTTTCTTGTGTAACAGTTCCAGTACAGCTACAATATTGCCACTTGACAACCAAAAAGGGACAAATTCAATTCAGGCAATTATTATCCAATCAATATACTTAAGTGCAATAAAGTTACAGTTAACTCAGTAATAAGCCATTTATCAATTTATCAGTGTGGAGCTGGAGGAACACAGCAGGCCAGGCAGCATCAGAAATTTCTGAAGAAGGGTCCCAAACCAAAACGTCAACTTTCCTACTCCTCTGAAACTGCCTGGCCTGCTGCTTTCCTCCAGCTCCACACTGTGTTATCTCTGACTCCAGCATCTGCAGTTCTTACTATTTCTGAACCTATTCATCAATGCTCAGTTTTGGTTTTGTTTGAGGACACTTAGCTTAAGACATCGTTACAACCTTGGTCCAAACATGAACAAAAGAACTGGATTCAAGAGATATGTGGAAAGTAAACTATCCTTGTCATCAAAGCAGCATTTGACAAGAGTTTGGCAACAAAATTGAAGTCAATATGAATCAGTGGAAAAATCATCTCAGCCGAGGATTTCCAAGCCAAACGCCATCCTAACCTAAAAAGAAATAATGGCTTTCATCTATAGTGATTTTCATGACCACTAACAATAATGTTCTTTAAACGATACAACAAAATTATTTTGTGTCATTGCTGCTAATATTGGAGTTGGGAACTATATCACTACTTCAAATTTTGGAATTCCCTTCTGAACAACACTATGGGTCTATATCACAAGGACTACAGTTGTTGAAGAGGTTAACTTAACAACACTTTCATAAATGAGGGATTGGTGAAAAAAATGCTAGCTTTGCTAGCGATGCTCATATCCTATGAACAAGAACAAAAATTTGTTCTTTTGTGGAAAAGAGAATTAGCTGTTTTTAATGTCAAAGAATACAAGTGAAACAGTTGAATTAAATTCCATTGGACAACACGGTGGCTCAGCAGTTAGCACTGATACCTCACAGTGTCAGGGACCTGTGTTTGCTTCTAGTCTCGGGCAATTGTGTGGAGTTTGCAAGTTCTCTCAGTGTCGGCATGGGTTGCCTCTGGGTGCTCTGGTTTCCTCCCGTAGTCCAAAGATGTGCAGGTTAGGTGGACTAGCCATGCTATAATTGCCTAAAGTGTCCAGGGATATGTAGGCTAGGTAGATTATCCGTGGGAAATGCAGGGTTACAGGGATAGGATAGGAGGGTGGGACTGAGTGGGTTGCTCTTTGGATGGTCAGTGTGGACTTGATGAACTAACTGGCCTGCTTCCACAATGTAGAGATTCTATGGTGTTAAGTTAAAGTTTGAGCTAAAACACAAATTTTTTTAACATCTTGTATATGGAATTCAAACTTGGTCGAATATTATTTCAAAGACTCAAGAACAAGCTGAGTGTGAAACCATAGCTGCTGTTTTCTAACCCAATGTTACTAGCACATTGACTTTTGCTTCAAAATATCACAACTTTTTTTTCTATTCATTTGTGGGATGTCGGAGTTGCTGATGGGCCAGCATTTCTTGCCCATCCATAGTTGCCCTTGAGAAGGTGGTGGTGAGCTGCCTTCTTGAACTGCTGCAGTGGGTTGACCCACAATGCTATTAGGGAGGGAATTCCAGGATTTTGATGCAGCAACAGCAAAGGAATGGCGATATGTTTCCAAGTCAGGATGGTGAGTGACTTGGAGGGGAACTTGGAGGTGGTGGTGTTCCCATATGTCTGATGCCCTTGTCCTTCGAGATGGAAGTGGCCGTGGGTTTGCTGTCTGAGGATCTTTGCTGAATTTCTGCAGTGCATCTTGTAGATAGTACACACTGCTGCTACTGAGGGTCGGTAGTGGAGGGAGTGAATGCTTGTGGGTGTAGTGCCAATCAAGCGGGCTGCTTTGTCCTGGATGGTGTCAATCTTCTTAAGTGTTGTTGGGGCTGCACTCATCCAAACACCGTGGGGAGTATTCCATCACACGCCTGACTTGTGCCTTTTAGATGGCGGACAGGCTTTGAGGAGTCAGGAGGTGAGTTACTCGCCGCAGTATTCCTAGCTTCTGGCCTGCTCTTGTAGCCACTGTGTTAATGTGGTGAGTCCAGTTGAGTTTCTGGTCAATAATAATCCCCCAGGATGTTGATAGTGGGGGATTCAGTGATGGTAACACCATTGAATGTCAATGGGTGGTGGTTAGATTGTCTCTTTTGGCGATAGTCATAGCCTGGCATTTGTGTGACGTGAATGTCACTTGCCACTTGTTAGCCCAAGCCTGGATATTGTCCAGATCTTGTTGATGTGAACACGGATTGCTTCAGTATCTGAGGAGTCACGATTGGCGCTGAACATTGTGCAATCATCGGTGAACATCCCCACTTCTGACCTTATGATGGAGGGAAGGTCATTGATGAAGCAGCTGAAGATGGTTGGGCCTAGGACACTACCCTGAGGACATCCTGCAGAGATATCCTGGAGCTGAGATGATTGACCTCCCACAACCACGACAATCTTCCTGTGTGTCAGGTAAGACTCCAACCACCGGAGAGTTTGCCCCCCTGATACCCATTGATTCCAGTTTTGCTAGTGCTCCTTGATGCCACACTCTGTCGAATCCAGCCTTGATATCAAGGGCTGTCACTCTCACCTCATCTCTGGAATTCAGCTCTTTTGTTCATGTTTGAACCAAGGCTGTAATGAGATCAGAACCCAAACTGGGCGTCACTGAGCAGGTGCTGCTTGATAGCACTGTTGATGACACCTTCCATCACTTTACTGATAATCGAGAGTATATTGATGTGGCGGTAATTGGCCGGGTTGAATTTGTCCTGCTTTTAGTGTACAGGACATACTTAGGGCAATTTTCCACATTGTCCGGTAGATACCAGTGTTGTAACTGTACTGGAACAGCTTGGCTAGGGGAGTGGCAAGTTCTGGAGCACAAGTCTTCAGTACTATTGTCAGGGAATGTTGTCAGGGGCCGTAGCCTTTGCAGTCTCCAGTGTCTCCAAACGTTTCTTGATATCACGTGGAGTGAATTGACCCGAAACTTTGAATGGACTGTGGACTGTACTTGGATTCGACTAAGTAATCGGTTCAGTAGTTTGTTTTGGAAAGTTAGGGATTTATTTGCTCAAATTAAGATTCATGAACTAAACAGTTTGATGACTCAGGACTTCAAAATGGTGGAAGGCAGAGTTAATGTACCAATTTAAATTCACTTGGTGTTAGTACTATAAGATCGCTGGGCTGGTAACTTCTTTTAATGATTACTTATTTTAAAGAAAGACAACTCAGTAAGGAGGCCAGGCAGCATCAGAGGAATGGGAAAGTCGATGTATTGGTTCGGTACCCTTCTTCAGAAATGGGGGAGGGGTAAGGGAGCTCAGAAATAAATAGAAGAGGGGTGGGGCTGGGGAAGGTAGGTGGGATGGTGATAGTTGAGTGCAGGTAGGGAGTGGTGGGGATTGGTCAGTGAGGTGGGAGAGAGAGATGATGGACAGGTTGTGTCAGGTCAAGGAGGCGGGGATGAAACCAGGGGTGGGGAAATTTTGAAACTGGTCAAGTCCACATTTAGGCCATTGTGCTGTAGGCTCCCAAGGTGGAATATGAGGTGCTGGTCCTCCAGTTTCCAGGTGGTGTCATTGTGACACTGGAGGAGGCTCAGGATGGACATGTCACCCAGAGAGTGGGAGGGGGAGTTGAAACTTTCTGCAGTTGCAGGGAAAGGTGCTGGGGGTGGTGGGGCTAGAGGGGAGTGTGGAGCAGACAAGGTAGTCGCAGAGAGAGTAGTTCCTACGAAAGGCAGATAGGGGTGGGGAGGGAAATATATCTTTGGTTGTGGGGTCGGATTGTAGGTGGCGGAAGTGGTGGAGAATGATACGTTGGATATGGAGGTTAGTAGGGTGATGTGAGGACAAGGGGGATTCCGTCTTTGTTTTTGTTGGGGGAGGGAATGAGGGCAGAGTGTGGGGGAAACCATCCCACCTACCTTCCCCAGCCCCAACCCCTCCTCTTTATTTATTTCTGAAGAAGGGTCTCGACCTGAAATGTCAACTTTCCTGTTCCTCTGATGCTGCTTGGCCTGCTGTGTTATCTCTGACTCCAGCATCAGCAGTTCATACTGTCTCCAACTCAATAAGGATTGTTGTACTGGTGAGTAGTTTTCTATGGTCAGCATCATCAGTTTCAGGTAAGCAGGGCTAAGCATTGGCTATTGGCAACAATAAAATGCATTAACTGACTAGTTTTGTTCAGATGAAATCCCTGAACAAAACTCCCCTCTGGTTGTCATGATGGGTTGGAATTCAAAACCCAGAGTAAATTTTGTCAACAGTGAAGATCGTACTTGAATGAGACACACTTGAAGTCACAGATCAAATCATCAGCAAATGCAAGATCCATTTAAAATTCATTGAAAGTTAAGACATCCAGCCTTCAGCAATTCTTCATAGGAGGTGAAATTCTTAGCAAGGACCGATCTCAATCTGTGAACCTGAAACAGAAGATAAGTCTGCACAGAAAGGAGAAATCTGTTGCTAAGAAAGGTGTAAAGCAAGAATGTCTTCCAGTTAAGGATTTTAAACTCTGGGAGAAAACATGCAATACATCTCTGTATAATATTTAGGTAAACTGAACAGAATAAAATAAATGGCATACATAAGAAAGAAATGATAGATCATATTGATTTCATTTTTCATACTTTGTTAAATTGTTGTAAATCAGGTTTGTACATTGATAATGAAAGCATCATTCAGTCACTGAGATGTGATGTGCAAAATAATGAAGTTTTTTGTAAAAAAAATTAAGAATTTAATTTTTACTTTTATACCAGAGAATTGACTTTGAGATAACTTAATTTTTCATGTGCAACAAGGCTGCAATAAGGCTGAACTTACAAAAACTTAAAACGCAAGTCTTAAATTTTTTTTGGAATCCAAAAACAGTTAGGAAAATTATTCATACAAAACACTATTACTTAAGCAACAAACAAACAGCAGCTAGTTTTGGTGTAGGCCACAGATGGCTGTAAGAGAAATCATTAACATCAGATACATTTTCTGTAACTCTGAATTTGTAGTCACTGCTTTAGCCTCATGATCATTAGCAGACCAGTCATGCCCAAGTACAAACATTACTAACAATCATTGCTGAGAGAGTTTTATACCATTCTTTAATACATTTGATATTTTACAACTAAATAAAATAAAAACTACAGCAAATATCTTCAAAATCTGTACAAAGTTTGATACAGAACAACCAGTGGGTTGAAATAAAAATCTAAAATTAACCACACTGACTTTTCTTTGTAATTATCTACAAAATCCAGTTGGTCTTAATGTTTTTCTAAAATTCCCTTGCATGTATAAAAATAAATTAATAAAACAATACTCTTCCAGTCAACAGCACAACTGTTAATTAGAAATATTACAAACCAAAATATTTAGGTTTTATATTTCATTTTTCCCCACTATTACTCAATTTCACCAAAGCATATTTATAGATGAAGTACAAACTGTGCAACATTCAACCTTAAAATTTATCATTACTTCAAATACTCTTACAATTGGATAGGTGGAGGGGGTCAGACTACCAACTGTTCAAACTGGTTCAGCCATGTAGAGAGCTGGGAATTCCTTCCAAGAAGGAAGACGATGTACTATTGGAAATTCCTGCTGCTGTGACAGGAATTGTGATTGAGTGCATACTCAGCTGTCCAGAGCTATTTCACAATGGACCTAGCAACAGGCACTTGGTTAGGCTGACAGCCAACACATCCCTCAAAGGAATCTTCCCCAGTGGCAGGCTAATCCATTTCTTCCACTTTATAGATTGATCTTGTACCCCAGCGACTAAAGAAATCTCAGAAGCCTATTGCACCACAACTGAGTAGCTTTGCCAGCAGTGATCCAAGAATCATACCACATTCACAGCAAAGGAACAGGACACAACACAGAATGCATGCAATGTAGCACTCAGGTGATGCATATCTCAAGTCCTGCCTGTCACAGCTGCAGAACCAGGTATAATTTTTTGCAATGTAACTTGCATTTTAATTTAAAAGATATCTAAATTTTCCTTAAAAATCATAATTTTACTTCCATCAAAACATTTCAAGACAAGCACAAAACCGAATGATTCAAGTTTTACCAACGAAGTTGAAAACAAGTTCATTTTTCGGATTGCTCCATGTCCAATGTCTCTTAAATTTCACATTAGTGCAATCAATCTGATAGATTAGTAAACCAAATGTTGTGATATAGGAACATCTTATCAAATTTATTTGGGGTATTTGTGGTATATGATGATTTTCAGTGTATTTGCCACTCCCCTTTAAGCTCCTCCAACCACATGCGAGTAAGATTCACCCACTGTAGTTGGTTAAACTGCTATGACAATGGGACAGAAACATTCTGGAATTTAAAAATCCTGTGTCAGCTTTTTTCCTGTGTAACAGGACTTCCGTTGTCACTGAGTCTCTGAAGAGAAAGGAAAAGGTACAGTATTAAAATTTTTCCACATGTATATTGATTTATACAGTGTCTCACCTCCATTTCCTAAATTCCTTTACTTATTTCAAATAGACCATGATTTTAAAATGTTTAGTTTAAAATGTAGTCATAGTATTGCAAAAATATTATTTGTGTTAACAAAAACAAATTTTTAAGAGAACAGTTCACACCATTCAAACTAAATAAAGAGATTTGGATATGTACATATGTTTTAAACAAGTCTAATTAAAGAGTTTAAATTTATGTTTAATTTCAGCAGCTTGGAAATACAATTCAATTAAATATCCAAAAGCGACAGAATAAAATATTTCCTGTTACAAGCTATGGTATACTGTTATAGGCTATGACACTTACTGCAACTTTTGGTGTGCAAGTTTCATTATGAATGGATATGAAAGGATTGGGAGGGGCTGAGTGAAGTGGTTGAGTTTGGGCATTTGCCAGTAGGTTATTTATAGGGATTGGTGCTGTTCCAGTGATCTGCAGCTGTTGTAGCTCATGCTGTTGATGATGGTGGTGCTGTTGCTGCATTATCTGATAAAACAGAGCTTGATGTTGTTCCTGGTGACAAGGCATGCAAAATATGAATTTAACATTAATTGGCAGCACAAAACAGCATTAAGTACTTTAATTATAAATACATAGATCAAGAGTAATTAGGTCAGAAGTACAAAAATAATGTACTCTTAATAGAGTATATAAAGGTAAAAAAGCAGGGAACATACTCAGCAACCTAACGGAAACAATTGATGAGCTATAGATCAAATCCACTTACTCCTGTATTCTCTCAACTGACTTAGCTCTCAATGCTAAAGAAATTCCACATTCACCAAGACAGCCTACGTTTACCTCCAGTTCACTTTCACCATCACAATAAGTTGCCACTTTTTCTCAGAACATGCTAATGGCTGTCAAACTATCTTCAGCATACTGGCAATATTACTATTGCCCTTGCTGATCTCTATTGTCTCCTGACTCCAAATTTTAAATTTCTACATGATTTCCTCCACTAACAGTGTAAAACTACTCCAATCTGGTAATCTTCAGTTCTCCAAACTCTGGCCTGCTTTGCAACTCCCAATCCTTCAACTGCCCTGGGAGTGGTCATGGGTTAAACTATTTTGGCTAATTCTTCCGAGGGTTTTCTCAAAATCTACTTCTTGCAAATGTAGGCAGTTACGGTTATCTGGTGCCTGTATTTTCCCAGGCTCTAAGTGTTTCAAGCAGTCCCACCTAAACCAAAAACCTTTAAAATCTAAAATCCAGCATCATTCTATTCCCAGTGTTGCTGGTATTGAGACACTACACCTGTAGTACTTTCTTCCAAGTCTCAGTGATTATTAATCTGGTGTCCTTCAGGATGTTCTCCATACATAATAAGCCATACAAATGCAAATTATTTTTTTTTCAATTGCAGAATGTGGGCTTTAGTGGCTGTGCAAGCATTTGTTGCATGTCCCTAGACAACCTTGGATTTACCGAGATAGTAGGAACTGCAGATGCTGGAGAATCTGAGATAACAAGGTGTAGAGCTGGATGAACACAGCAGGCCAAGCAGCATCAGAGGAGCAGGAAAGCTGATGTTTCGGGTCTAAAGGACATTACTGAATAAGATGGATTTTTACAGCAATACATGATGGTGACGTGGTATTTTAATTCCATATTTTTATTGAATTCAAATTTCACCATCTGCTGTGGTTGGTTTCCCAACGTGGTTCCTAGAACACTAGTCTGGGGTTCTGGATTACTTTCCTAGTGACAATACCACTAGGCCATTGCTCTCCCAAATTGTTGCTGTAATGTGTGCCAATCACTATTACATTGGACCATAATGTATTTATTTTACAGGTTCTATATCTACAGTGTCTAGTCCAGCTGGACATCACACTGAATGGAATTCTAAAAGCGAGCAAGGAATAGGAAGAAGCTATACACATGCAGCACCGTCACAATGAGGAACAGATGTGATAGGTAATTTAGGGGAACAGTGGAGTTTGAAGTTTGTATCTACTATGAATGTCAGAAGTGAGAATACAAGAGATCTGACACATCTTTGCAAGCCATCTCTAATCAGTGTTCAGCTTAAGGCATTAACTTTTAGTAAATAAATGTCTCTACGTTGTGGGCCAACTTGGATAGCAATATATTTCTTGATGTCAAAGGTAATATCACAACACACACTTGATTATTCAATGCTGTGACTTTGGTTTTGCAATATTTACCTTATGTTTAATTTCTGAATTAAAAGCACAGATTTTAAAACAAGCTTTTGTCCTTTTTAGTTGAAACTGGTCCCTCATACAAATTTATCAATGCGATTTCATGAGACAAGCAAGCTCTTTCCAGTTTTGGTCAAACTAAACAATGTTTGAGAACTCTGCATCATATGTGGAACAAAATCACAGAATCATTGCAGTGTAGGAGGAAGCCATTTGGGCCATTATGCATGTATAGGGTCTTGAAACAAGTGCATTACTCAGTGCCAATCTCCTGCTTTATCCTCCCACACCTTTCTATCTAAACAATCATTCAATGCCCTCTTGAATGCTTCAATTGAACCTGCTTTCACTATGTTTCCAGGCTGTGCATTCCATAACAACTCTCTTTCACATCACCCTTGTTTTGTTGGCACATCATTTTAAAGCTATGCCCTTTGTTCTTCTGCCTTTTATGAGCAGGAGCAGCTTCTCCCAATCTACTCTGTCCAGGTACTCATGACTTTGAAAACCGCTTTGAAATTTCCTTTCAGACCTCTTTTCTCCAAGGAGATCAGTCCCAACTTCTTAAATCTATTCTCGTAATACAAGGTTCTTAATCCTGGAACTATTCTTGTAAATTGCTTCTGCAGCCTCTCCAACGCATTCACATCTTTTCCATGCTCACAGCTTATACATAATACTCAAGCTGAAAGCTAATAAGTATCTAATATCACCTCCTTATTCACATACTCTATGTCCCTATTAATAAAGCCGAGGACACCGTATGCCCCACCTGACCTGCCACCTTCAATACTGTCTGCACATGTATACCCAGGTTCTTTTGCTCCTGCACCCTTCTTAGAATTGAAACCCCTATTTTGTATTGTCTTTCAGTATTCTTTCAACCAAAGTGCATCACCTCACACTGAAACTCATCTTTCACTTACATGCCCAATCCACAAATGTGCTCATTTTGGACTTCCACATTGTCCTCACAATTTACAACTGTTCCAAGTTTAGAGTCATCTGTAGACTTTGAAATTATCCACCACACAGCACACATCATTAATATACGTCAGGAAAAGCAAGGGTCCCAATACCGACCTCAGGAAAACTCCATTGCAAATATTCTTCTAGCCTGAAAAATATCCATTAACCAATACTCAGTTTCCTATCACTGTCAATTTTGTATCCATGTTGCTACTGTCCCTTTTATGCCATGACCTATAACTTTCCTCACAAGTCTGTTGTGTGGCTCTATATCAAATGCCTACTGGAAATTCACTTATACCATATCAACAGCATTACCCTCATCAAGCCTGTTATCTCTCAAACCCTCCAGAAAGTTAGTTAAACAACTTGAAATAAATTTATCATCAAGGTACAAGAGTTTAATCACCCTTCCATATCTCAAGGCTGAAAGGATTTTGTCCATTACCCGATAAACGTGTGGTTAGCAACACATTTTTGCCAAACACAGTGTTTGGCTTTGGTATAATTGTAATCTCTGAACTTTTCATAACAAGGATGGAAACCTATACAACCATGTTTTTCTTTAAAAAGTTTGTTTAAAAAAATGCCTTCCCAGATTTTGTGATATTCGTGTGAATACTTTTTTGGTATGACTGTTAATACTTTTCATATTCAATGAAATCTGTCAGATGTATTAAAAAAATTAAGTAAAATTCTCAAAAGCATAAGTATCAATAAAAAATGAAGCAAAAACAATTTGACACAATTACCATTATGGTATGATATCACATTTTCAGCTTATTTATACATTCAAATTATACTTGCAAACTATTTACTTAAAATCAAAAAAGTACATATTACAATTAACATTCTGTCAAAATTAATAAGCTTTCTTCCCATCCATTTTAAATATCATGAATAGCCTTACTGGAGTAAGCTGCTGGGATGGCAACAATTGTTGAAGTGGTTGTTGCTGTTGGTGAAATAACAGTTGTCTTTGCTCAGAAAGTAAACTCAATCCTGGCACACTAAAAAAACAAAAATATTTAGCAAAAAAATATACAAAATACATTTTTGAAAATATAGGCCTTCTAAGCTGTGCATTTTTATTAGGACCAGATTAATCAATTTCAACATTTGATCTAGAATTTTTTTGGTTCAGTTTTTTTTTTGCAAGGGGACAGTAATGATGAGAGTACTTTTGCCTAAATAATTTTTGTATATCGTTGCCATCTGATGGTTGGATTTACTGACAAGTATCAATCTCACTGTACAATGACTCTTAAAATTGACTTGATGACTCTGTAAATAAATATAGCATGATGTGGAACTGTGCCATAAGGATTTCTGCTTTAATACCAGGTTTGTGCTAACTTAAGTAAAATCATGGATGGCCTTAATATTCAGAGAAGAAGTTAAAATGAAAGGATGGGCCATTTTAGGCAGAGTGGATAGCTAATGCTTTGTTGATATGCACACAACACTGACAACAAGCTCATCCAATGCCATCTGTACAAAATGATTTTAAATTCCCAATTGCATTGTCAAGTGAAGGAATTATTTGCAGTCAGTTTTAGTCAAGTCTCAACAAACACTGGTGGTAGGATTCGTCATTATCCATCCCTACCCCCACTAATAAAGTGAAAAAGGGAAAGCACAATCCAGTATTGCCTATTGGAAAATATGCAGCATGAGAATTTGGAGAATGGAATCTACTTCAAGATACTATAGAGTTGAGGAACATACAATACCCTTATAAAAGTCAACTTGCAGATTTCAGTAAAAGATGTGAGAATTTAATACATTCCCATGCTCTACAAAGTATCTTGAAACACATGTTAAACCACCAAGGGAGAATGTCTTTTCAAAAAGGCTTTTAATTTCTTTTAAATTGGAGAAAGAACTGCAGAGGCAGAGGAGTGTGGTGAGGGGATTTGTCAGAATTCAGTCAAGATGACAGTTTGGATTTGAATAACTTGGTGAGTTGGATACTCGTGTAGGTGAGCAAGAAAAGAGCAAATGGATAAATGAAACTTTGTTGGATAGAGTGAAAGTGGCTGAGGATGATGAAAGTTGTGAAATTGGTTGAGAAGTGAGGAATACAAGTAGAAAATATGGCACAGTGATCAGAAATGGTGATTTTGATAACAAAGACACATGAGAGATGGTCAAGTCAAAGATTTAATAGAAATATCTGGCATTTAAATGTACAGTTAGATCCAATCCAGTTTTATTCATGATCGAGCACATCACCAAGCATACAAAATGCCCATCAAACTGGAATATAAATTGGCAGTCTAATTCCAAACTTTGTTATTGATTGCTCTAGTTTACCAGAGCAACTAGAGTAGATTTCATCAAGTTTTTCATCTCACCACATACTGTGCAGAGGTGGATTTGTAATATTCACAATGTATTTATTAAGCATACTTTAATGGTCAGGCTTTAACAATGTTAGCTTCAGTTAGTTTCTAAGTTAACTTTTAAATAAACTAACCATGAAGTAGATCCTGTATAATTTTCTAAATTTTCAGCACAGAAACATCATCAGTCTGAAAAACATCCATTAACCAATACTCTGTTTCCTATCACTGTCAATTTTGTATCCATGTTGCTACTGTGCCCTTTATACCATGACCCATAACTTTCCTCTAGCTAAGCCACTGTGTCAAAGCATTACATTTCCGGAACTAAAGAGTGTACTAATCCTGTACTAACAATTTAAATACATTTAAATACATCTAACTTAAAATTGGCAAGCCAAGCAGGAGAACTATGGAAGCATCTTCTTAAAAAATAGGACTGTGTTGAAATATAAACATCTTATTAAATATGTTACGTTGTTGTTGCTAGATTCAGGGGGTCCTTTTCCTTTTTGCCATTACAAATTTCTACATAGGATTGGAATTAGGCAATGCAATTGCACAATCTGGCCACATGACGGTAGTTTGAAGAAAACCTCTGAGCTTACCCTTTTAGCGCTGACACCATTTGTATAATCCCAAGGAAATTCATCTCTTTGGGTAAGTTTACAGTAATCATGATATTCAAATTATAAAATTTGTTCTGATAGCTGACCGCTGCCTACGGTTCTTTATAAAGGAGTCAAGGGCAGGAGTTAAGTAGGTTACAATGCACAGACATTATTCAGTCCCCATATTAAATTCATATTGTTTTTTATATAGCGTTTTAATTTTATCGAATTATCTATAGCTAAATAACAAAGCAAAGCAATTCTGGAAGCAGAGTGGTACAGCTAATTGGGACATGAGACTTTTAATTGCACAGACTGAGACTTGTGAAAAAAAATATTAAGCACAGCGATACCAATGTCAGTTAAAATTCATTTTATAAAAATGTTTCCGTAGAATGTCAGCATTATTGGCAAGGTCAATATTTGTTGCCCATCTTTGAATCGAATGACTTCCTATGCTATTTCAGAAACCAGTTAACAGACAACCACATTGCTGTGGATCTGGAAACATAAGGCCAGACCAGGTAAAGATAGCAGATTTATTCCCTGAAGGACACTGGCGAACCAGATCAGTTTTTGATGACACCATTGTTATTAGCATTAGTACACAATTATGAAGGCTGTTTTTTGTTTTAATGTTCCAGATTCACTAATTGAATCTGAATTCCACCAACTGCTACTGCAGGATTTGAACTCTTCTGTTGAAGGAGGCTTGTCTTGTTACTGCGATAGATCTCATACATGGTTAAAATAAGTGTTGCCTCTACACGCAGAGTGTTGAAAAAGTGATCTATTTTAAAGTTTTGGCAAAGATCTGTAGCACGGGTTGTGCATGAGGTTGTGGATTTGCTCGCCGAGCTGCCTTGCTTTCGTTCAGACGTTTCGTCACCATGCTAGGTGACATCATCAGTGGAGCCTCTGATGAGGCGATGTTATTCTACTCTGCTTGGAATTTATACTGTCCGGTCCGTTATGGTGAGTACTGTCATTTCCGGTTTTGATCTGTATGGGGTATATGGTGTCCAATTCTATATGTTTGTTGATTGAAGTGTGGGTGGAGAACCATGCCTCTAGGAATTCCCATGCGTGTCTATTTTTGGCTTGGGCTACTATGGTTACCGGTATGTAGACAACACATTTTTCATTATTAAACGCAACAAATTAGAAGAGACCCACCACCTCATCAACAGCATATTCACAGGGATTAAATTCACAAGGGAAGAAGAAAACAACAATCAACTTCCATTTCTGGATGTTAAGAACATACAACAGTACAGCACAGTACAGGCCCTTCAGCCCACAATGTTGAGCCAACCTATTATTCTGTTAAGATCAATCTACCCTGCATTCCGTACATTTTACTATCCTCCATGTGCTCCAAGAGTCGCTTAAATGCTTCTTTAGTATCTGACTCCACTGCCGGCAGCGCATTCCACATGCCCACCACTCTCTGTGTGAAGAACCTACCTCTGACATCTCCCCTATACCTTCCTCCAATCACCTTAAAATTATGTCCCCTTGTAATAGTCATTTCCGCCCTGGGAAAAAGTCTCTGACTATCCACTCTATCTATGCCTGTCATCATCTTGTACACCTCTATCAAGTCACCTCTCATCCTTCTTTGCTCCAATGAAAAAAGCCCTAGCTCCCTCAGCCTTTCTTCATAAGACCTGCCCTCCAGTCCAGGCAGCATCCTGGTAAAGCTCCACTACGACCTCTCTAAAGCTTCCACATCTTTCCTGTAATGAGGTGACCAGAACTGAACACAATATTCCAAGTGTGGTCTAACCAGAGTTTTATAGAGCTGCAGCATAACCTCCCGGCTCTTAAACTCAATTCCCCTGCCAATGAAAGCCATCACACCATACGCCTTCTTTACAACGCTATCAACTTGGGTAGCAACTTTGAGGGATCTATGGACGTAGACCCCAAGATCCCTCTGTTCCTCCACACTGCTGAGAATCCTGTCTTTAACCCTGTATTCTACATTCAAATTCGACCTTCCAAAATAAATCACTTCACACTGTTCCAGGTTGAATTCCAACTGCCACTTCTTTGCCCAGCTCTGTATCCTTTCAATGTCCCGTTGCAACATACAACAGCCCTCCATACTACCCACAACTCCACCAACCTTTGTGTCATCGGCAAACTTACTAACCCACCCTTCCACTTCCTCATCCAAGTCATTTATAAAGATCACAAAGAGTAGAGGTCCCAGAACAGATCCCTGCGGAACACCACTGGTCACCGAGCTCCAGGCTGAATACTTTCCATCTACTACCACCCTCTGTCTTCTATTGGACAGACAGTTTTGTATCCAGACAGCCAAATTTCCCTGGATCCCATGCCTCCTTACTTTCTGAATGAGACTACCATGTGGAACCTTATCAAATGCCTTGCTAAAATCCATACAAACCACATCCACTGCTGTACCTTCATCGATGTGTTTTGTCACATGTTCAAAGAATTCAATAAAGCTTGTGAGGCATGACCTGCCCCTCACAAAGCCATGCTGACTATTTCTATTTAAACTGTGCTTTTCCAAATAATCATAAATACTATCTTTCAGAATTCTCTCCAATAATTTGCCCACCACAGAAGTAAGACTGACCAGTCTGTAATTTCCAGGATTATCCCTATTCCCTTTCTTGAACAAGGGAATGACATTTGCCACCCTCCAATCTTCTGGTACTACTCCAGTGGACAGTGAGGATGCAAAGATCATTGCCAAAGGGGCAGCAATCTCTTCCCTCGCTTCCTGTAGGAACCTTGGGTATATCCCGTCTGGCCCAGTGGACCTATCTATCCTCATGTTTTTCAAAATTTCTAGCAAATCCTCCTTCCGAATATCAACCTGTTCGAGCATATCTGCCTGTCTCATGCTGTCCTCACAAATGTCAAGGTCCCTCTCACTGGTGAATACTGAAGCAAAGTATTCATTAAGGATCTTCCCTACCTCCTCTGACTCCGCGCACAAGTTCTCTCCACTATCCCTGATTGGCCCTACCCTCACTCTGGCCATCCTCTTGTTCCTCACATAAGCATAGAACGCAATGGGGTTTCCTTGATCCTCCCGCCAAGGTTTTCTCATACCCACTTCTAGCTCTCCTAAGTCCATTCTTCAGTTCCTTCCTGGCTACCTTATAGTCCACTAGAGCTTGGTTCGATCCTTGCTTCCTCAACCTTAAGTAAGATTCCTTCTTCCTCTTGACTAGGTGTTCCACATGTCTTGTCATCCAAGGTTCATTCACCTTACCATCCTTGCCTTGCCTCAGTGGGACAAACCTATCCAGTACTTGTAGCAACTGCTCCCTGAACAACCTCCACATTTCTGTCGTGCATTTCCGGGAGAACATTTGATCCCAATTGGTCCTTTGTTGTTCTTGCCTAATAGCATTGTAATTCCCCCTCCACCAATTAAATACTTTCCCATACCGTCTGCCATTATCCCTGTCTATGACTATAGTAAAGGTCAGGGAGTTGTGATCACTATCACCGAAATG